TGGCTGGGTCTGCTGCTCACCGACCTTGACGTGACCTACAAGTGGAAGGCGTACCTGGCTACACGGACGGCCGCCTACTACGCGACACTAACCTTCTTTTGGGGCTGTGTCATTGCGGGTTTCATGGTCAACGTTGTGCCTATATGGGTGGAGACGACTTTCAATTTCAGCACCGCGGAGCGAGGTGTCCACCCTGACCCTACTACGGGTGAAGCAATTCGCGACACTGAACGAAATGGATACCCAGCTTACAATACGCCGCGTCTTAACGGTCTCCTCTTTGCTGGTGGCATGCAAGCCGTTGTCGAGCTCTCTGCAGTTGTACAATGGATCTTGTCCACGCCTCCTTTCCTAATTCTCTTCCCCCACGTCTTCACAATCTACCTAATTCACGGTCTTGTGTTCTGGTCCTATGGCTCCTGGCTCATGGTGTTCCTCGCGGACCGCGGCTTCAGTTACGGCATCAACGTAGTCATTGTAGGCGTAACCTCTTACGGCGTGCTCTTCGCCTGTCTTCCCATTGTCACGCCTGTGATTGAAGCACTCGGAAAGGATATGACGGCCATGGTATGGATGACAGCCACGAAGAAATCGCCTCCACGCCGACGCACCCTATTTCCTTACCCTGATGACCTATTCACCAGTCGTGTACCCAACGAAAAGGAAGAAGAGAACAAGGCCAACAGCAGCGATGTCGAAACAGGCCTGGCTCAGCGCCAAAGCGACGAAAGCACAATGTATCACGCACGCAGCACCTTCAGCGAAAAGGGCAAGGGCAAAGCACCCGCCTCAGTTGGTGTGCACGAGATGCAAGCGTTCGCCCTTAACGAAGAACAACAGCAAGACAGACGGTCAAGCAGTCCAATGGTGAGTCGGTTTAGCGGATAGTTTTTCTCCCTTTTTCTCCCTCCCGGAATCGTAGTATACTATTTCATTTTTTTTGTTCTTGTTGCCCAAAGTAAACATGGGGAATAGGGCTGTCTCCTGGCGTATGTTTATTTGAATCTATACGAAAGCAAATTCCACCGCAAATTCTCTGTTCATAGATGCACTATCTTTCGTTGTACAACCCGCACGTACGCACACACTCTCATATTCCCACGCTTCAGCAAGCGCATAGACGATATAGTAGTATTAGTGGATGGTTCGAAAAGGATAATTCCCCTTACCCCATGGTTTCGGCAACGTTGTTTCGGAACCCTTCCTCCTTGCCCCCTTTTCCTAGTATGTCCTCTCAGGGTCCTTACTGCTCGTGTTTGTTTCTTTTTTTCTACATCCTGGCAATTGCTGTTCTTGTCTTTTGTTGCTTCTTTTTTGTGGCGTTGCGCAAAAACCCCTTACCAGTTCTATCTTGAGCGTCCGCGCTTGGCTCGATTGGTGGTTCAGGCCTATAAATAATACCATACCCGTTTGATGTAGTTTGTTTTTCTTCAAGGGAAAGGAAAGAGAGAAGTTAATGCTCATGAATTTAAAAGATGTTTGAGAACTGGTATCGTGAAACGTAACGACTTTTTTTGTCTTGTGCATTGGGAGTCAACGAGTACTTTCAAACGTCAATCTTTGTTTTCGTGCTTTGTTGAGGAGAAGGGTGTGGTGGTGAGGTGTGGTGTATTTTCTCCCTGGTGCATCCTTTGGCATGATTTCCAGTTCGGCTTATTTGTGTACTGCAATTAACAGGGTGAGTTTGTTCTTTAGATTGTTAGGTATGTTTGACGAAGCAGTGAAGCTGTCAATTAGAGTAAGGGCGATAGAATAGTAGTGAGCTTCATGAAAAGCTACCAATCAGTCTGAGCTCGAATATCCAAGTGGAATTTTTGAACTTAATTGAATTCCAATTCAACAAACTAAGCCATAGCAGTGAACAGTCGGAAGATAGACATTGAGTGTTTTTCGGGTGGAAACAAATTCCCATTTGGAGTATGGTTGGCGCTGGACAAGGTCTTGTGGAGAGGGGAGGCTCCCCTTTTAAATAGCTAAAATTAACACTAGCAGACCCAAGTAAAAGTGGGTTGTATTGTAGAACTAACGGCAATAAACACATTGGCATGATACGTTGTTGTCAATTCAGTCATGGTTCTAGTCGTGTCTAAAATGTTCTCCACGTCCCCTGACATATCGTGTTCCAATAATTTCCACGACATGACAGCTCACGGAATTACGTCATGCAATTTTAGATATAAGTCGCTGACGAAGAGTCATTCTCAGGCAACCCAGCCTAAAACAATGTGTATGATCCACTCATGTTGTAGAGTCATGATCTGAACGTACGGATTGGTAATACATCTCGCGCTTGGACCGGAATCTAACACCGAACAGCGAAGAGAACTCAAGCATACGGACAAAATCGCTAGTGCAACGTCCAAAGTCGCACGTACACACATATACTTAATAACTAAGCATCCGAAAATACCATTCCACAAGCTCTGCCTCCAATGCCCGCATTCGACCCCATCCCGCAAACAAGCCAGGCGCGTCTTGACGCATCGCTCCCCGACGCGCCACTCGACATAGCAACGCTACTAGCCCACCCGTCAACACCAACCTCCGAAAAGCCCAAAACAGTCCTCTACCTAGCCTACGGCTCCAACCTCTGCAACGAAACCTTCCGCGGCGCGCGCGGCATCCGCCCCCTCTCGCAAATCAACGTCGTAGTCCCCTCACTACGCCTAACCTTCGACCTACCCGGAGTCCCCTACAAAGAGCCGTGCTTCGCAAACACCGCGCGGCGCACATCCTCCGCACAGAAATACCATAAAGATGCGTGGCACAAGGGTCTCGTGGGCGTGGTGTACGAAGTCACGCTGTCAGATTATGCGCACATAATTGCTACAGAAGGTGGCGGGAGCGCCTACGCAGATATACTGGTTGATTGCCATGTGTTGGACAAAGGGGAGGATACGGTTCCCACAGTACCGACGTCGAAGCCGTTTAAAGCGCATACGCTGTTTGCATCCTCAGAAGACAACGACCGCATTGTGAGACCGGATCCTAGCTATGCGCAGCCGTCGGCTAGGTATCTCAAGTTGATAACGGATGGGGCGCTCGAGTGCGAGTTGCCGGGAGAGTATCGGGAGTATCTACATGGAATACGGCCGTTTAGGATCACGAGCAAGAAGCAGGAGGTGGGCAAAGCGCTGTTTTTGAGTATTTGGATGCCGTTTGTGTTGTTTGTATTTGCGCTGGGGAGGAAGTTTTCAGACGAGAATGGGCGCGCGCCCGCATGGCTGGCGAAGTTGAGTGCAATGGTGTTTTCGGGCATGTGGACGAGTTATGATGCGGTTTTCAAGCCTGTGTTTGGTGAGGGAGAAAGGACGGTTGGGGACGATGCGCTGGGAGAGATGGATTCGAGTACATGGGAAGCTCTGTCTACACGGCAAGAGGCAGAAAAGGAATCTTTGTTGGAGGAGTCTGTACAAAACATGTACACGGCTCAGATGGCTGTACAAAGACCATCGCGCGGGGATGGTGTGGCTTTGCGCTGAAGCTACTCTTCTGGTATAAGAAGCTCTTGATTTGATTACAACGAAACGGTAGATCATATTTCAGGATATGGAACATAGATAGATTAGAAGCAACAATGCAAGCCGCATGGCAAAACTATGAGCAAGCATGTTAGCCATTGATTAATAGTGATATGATGCGTGGTGTAGACACTACAACGCATTCAGAGGCAGGCAGGGCATGCGGCGGGCTCATGGACCAGTAACTATATGTGGAAATGGCTCGGTATTTGGCCTACAGTAGTGCCACGTTTCTCTGTATGTATACTTTAAACCATCTCCAGTACCAGGTGGGACACCTCAGTGTGCCGCTCGTCTTGTGAAGCCACTCAGAAAATCCATTGTACAGTTACACGGAATGTCGATGCTTGCCCTTTTCTTCTTCTCCAAACAACTAGCATTTATTCTCCCCCGTTTTACTGTTACACCACCATTATCATTAAGCTTTTTCTTGTATTCCACCAGTCTCTCAAGCATTCCGGCTTTGATGCTACAGTTTGATCATCAAGCTACAGACGGTTGATATACAATATTTGTATACCTTTTTGTGAAGTATATTTACATTCACCGTACCGCAGATTTGCAGCTTCCTTACAACACTTTCTAAAGACTCATATCTCAATTCGTATCTTTTCATAGTCTTCTACGAACGCTATGCTTCGCAAAAGTACATCGCATCAGTCCGTCTGGGATCATTCGTCCCCCTCACGAAATTACCACTGCTGCGAGTGTAACCGTTCGGCCCGGCTCGTGTTGATTGTCGATGCTACACTGAAGTTGCTTCACATTCGTGCAAAGGACTACAAGCCTCTTGTTGTCTGTAGTTGCGCATGTCATACCCGGATTAACGCACGGCGAAGATCTGCGTAGGATGCTGTGTCTGGTCTTGAGAACTGTTTGTTGGAACATCACTTGAAATACGAAGTTCTGGGTGGTTGGAGGGTATGAAGGATGATCGGATACTAAAAAAGATGTTTCCTGTGGTGATTTTGGATAGATAAAATTGTTTTATATGTTTTTCGGTGGTAATAAAGGCAATCAATCAAGTTTTCTCCTCGCAAGCTCCACTATGCTTATGTTTCCATCTTACTCACCTTTTCTCTCCCCGTGTGTACACTTTCAGATCATCGAATTGAGTTACAATTGTACTTTTCATATCAGTGGGGCTCACGCAAGATGAATTAGGCTGTGCATAGTAGCAGTGAAGACGCAAACGTACAATGTTGCATCACTCACTAGGCCACTCACAATCACCTCATTGTAAAAAAAACCTCCTTCACTGCACATTTTTCTCGACACTCATCCCCTTATATATATCTAGCCATAATACTACACAGCTGTACTGTATGTTAATCAACAACAGCAGATAGAAACAGTCTCATTGGCAACTCAAAGCAACAGGCTGGCCTTCTTGGATCTGCAGCCACACAAGAAATCATGGATCCCTCACAAGCCTACAGTGTCGACTCCGACAGCCCACCACGTTCGAGTCAAGAAACGATGCGCCCCAAGAAGAAAGGCTTTCAACACAAGAAGGAAGAGCGTCAGAACCCCGTACCGGGCTCGACAAACATCTGTTCGAATGCTCCAGGCGCTTCTCCCCTGACTACAGACGAGGAGCACTTACGAATTCAAGAAACGGCCGCTGGAAGCTCTGAAGACGAGAGGTATGCTGGCTTGATGCACTCCCTCGACATGATGGAAGGAAGCTTCAAGTACGCTAGACTGCCGCTGACACCAAAAATTTCTGGCAGTGTCACACGCGGGCGCGTTATGGCGGCAAGTCGACTGCGAGATTTCAAGGTGCAACAACTACCTCTTAGAGGACGCTCCAAATATACAGAGACTCCAGCAGAGTTGGTTCCAGGCCCGCCAGCAAACACAGTCACTTTTATCGACGAAGAGAACGAGCCGTCCGATTCAATTGGCAAATGGCGCTGTTGCAAGTGCGGCAACAGTCACGATATCTACAGCGTCGCACGTGGCCAACATCCTGTCAGTGTCCTAAACTGCAACTGCATGCACGGCTCCTGCTCCAAATGTACACTGGAAGGTTTGATCAAACAATTCGTACCCATGATCGAGCCAGAAGTCGTGCACCTATCAGAGGACGCAAACAAGGCCGTACGCTTCGGCGTATTCTGCGATGGCTGTGGTCAATCCTGGCGCGCGCAAAAGGTCAATGACGACGCGAACAAGAAGGCAGCAATCAAAGCAGCCTTGACACGAATATCCGCGATCCCCAGACGCCTCAACAAGCGCGATCCACACCCTCTCAAGAACATGCGGGCCTCAAGGTCAATGGATCACCTCCTCCATCCTTGCACCCCTTGCGCCACAATGGCGACCTCCAAGTCCGCCCTCAACCTCCGCGCGCTCTCCAACGAGATGCAGAAAGAACACGGCGAGCAGGCAGAGCTGGTCTCTGTCCGATTCACGGGTATCAGGTGCGACTGTGGTATGATGACTGACTCCAACTCGCTTTGCTTCCAGATTGTCGACCCGCCTAGAGACTTTTACAGAGTCCAGTTTATGAAGCAGATGGCTGGACGTCGAGTCGCTGGCTTTGGTACCACGCCAGAGGACAAGGTGAAAGGCCATGGAACGCCGGTTCTAGTCTTGAGAGGTTATATTCGCCACCCGAATCCGCTCATGAGCAGCCCTGTCTCGTAGTGTGGCGTTGTTGCAAGTAGGTCCGAAGAAAGGTGGATCTGAAAGACTGGCTTTATTGTGCATTGCGCCGAATACTAGGGGTTGTAAGATGATTGGGACTAGGCAAGCCGTCTAAGTACTTGCCCTTTCTCTCTTGGATTACACCGGTCTGGAGTAGTCTCCCGAGTACTTGGCGTAGATATTCGTCAAGGATACTGTAGGCATCAATTAATTAAAGGAAAAAAAATTGCTCAAAACGACTGCCTTTCGGCTGAATTGGGTTTCTGTGACTGTTTTACCCCAGATGATGTTCCGTGTGCACGGTAGCACAGCCTTAGGCGTTCCATTGCGTGAACACAGTGTTCGCATGCGCGTGTCTGCCATCGGGCTTTGTTTGAATCATTATGGTCCTTATGACCTTCTCAGGCATTTGTTAGTTTTATCAAAGGAATTGCTGCCTCGTTGTGTAGCTGAGACTGTTTCGGCGCTGATTGTGCATATGTGCTTGAACTCAGGCATCAGCCGTCATCCTCGCTGTCGTGATGTTACCTTCAGGCACAGCCAGGTCGTCAGCATCCAGATGCTTGTAATTTGATAGCACTTGCCTATTGTGGGTGTAGGCTGAGGCGCTGAAAACATGGAGTCGCCGACATCTAAACGGTCATATTACAAGCGCTTTAGACGCTTGTTCAGGCACCGGGGTACACTACTAGTACTAGTATGTGGCGGTGCAAGGCGTGACGCTCAGCAACCAAGCGCTTAATCGCATCAGCACCACCATCTAGATAAATCGGTGAATCGCCGTGCGCCATTGTTAACAACACCCTTTGTCGCTTTGACATCAAAAAAGTTTCACGTTTCAAACACTATCAACAAACATTTGTCTATATAGTCATTGTCCAGTTTGCCCCGTTGTGTACTCAAGCAAATGTCACTAGCCAAGTATGATCTCGTGCCCCACCAAGATCCCAGTACATAACCCTAGACACTCCAACTTACATTCACAAACTCAGACTCCAGCTTCCGCGACAAACCCCATCTTGCACCTTATTACCTCGAGCAGCCACTTCTCCAGCGCATCCGGAAGTACCGTTTGCTATAAAGAAATTAGTACACCAGTTGAGCCATAACCTAGCCGCCAAGGATCCAGCTCCTACATCAACACCAGTCATGGTCTTTGGAAAAGACATCATCGATAAAATGCGCGGCAAAAAGACCGAGCCTGAACCAGAGTCTGAACCTCAAACCAATATCCCACAAGGCGTAGACATCGACCAAGACGTCGAAGACGTCAAAAACCAACTCCCCCCTCTACCCCCAAACCTGCCCACCCGCCACAAGGACTTTGTACACTGCGTACCGCCCGAAGCGCCTACATACCGCAAATTCAGCGTCTTCACCGCCGGCAGCATAGAAATGGGCAATGCCGTCCAGTGGCAAAAGCACATGGTCAAACTGCTCTCCCACCTCCCCATCACAGTCTGCAACCCGCGCCGCGGCCATTGGAACCCGCACATTACGCCGCAGGCCCGCGACAAGGACTTCAAAGACCAGGTCGACTGGGAGCTCGCTGCACTCGAGCAGGTCGATGTCATTTGCTTCTTCTTTGACGTCACGACAAAGAGTCCCGTGTCGCTGCTTGAATTGGGTCTGTGGGCTGGCTCCGGGAAAGTGGTCGTGTGCTGTGGCGAAGGGTACTGGAAGGGCGGCAATGTGGAGCTGACGTGTGAGCGCTACGATATTCCCCTGGTCAAGTCGTTTGAGGAGCTAGTGCCGGCGGTGGAGAAGATGCTGGTTGAGAAGGGTATGGTGCTTGATGCTAATGGTGATTTGGTGGGGGAGAACGTGCACGTTGACAAGGAGAAGCCGAAGAAGAAGGCGCAGCTTGAGGCTGAGAAGGAGGATTTGCAGAAGCAGATTGATGCGCTTCAGGCACAGCTGGCCGAGTCGAAGCTGTGATTTTTTTTAGGGGATTTCCTTGTTTTTCCATTTCTTAACTTGCTTTTCACTGCATTCACGGTGCGAGTCAATTGGGCGGCGGGCTATTTGAGCGCGTCTTATTCAAGGCGATCATGGGTGGCTTTTTTTTTCATTTCACGTCTGGGCTATACCCTTGCATGTAGCATTCCTCTCAGTTAGACGTCGTGTCAATATTTCCAAATCACCCTTTTCCCACTAAGAAAATGCATCTGGAACTGAATTCGCCATGTAGTAGCAAATTTAACGTGCATCCACTCGTAGCGGAACAGCACCTGTGACGGAACACTATTATCCTCGCACCTACTTTGCACATGCCCACATGATAGTAAGCATTTATTTGGACTGTATAATCAAACTTCTACTTATTCTACATCTAGTACCAGCTTTCAAATAGAAAATTACAAGCCTTTTGGTGGCGTATCTACTCGTTCTATTCGCGATGACCGTCCACCCTTTAATTGCTAACCCCTGTGCGATAATACCAGATAACATGAGCTCAACTCTCGGGGCCCTGAAAAGTGGCAAAAACTGCTAAAGCCTGATATGCCAGGCTTACAGCTAGTGGGAATCTATGGAGAAGAAAAGTATCTCCGTTGGGGTACCAGATTTGCCGTGCGCCACAGGATGGGCCAAAGCCGGATTGTTTCCGTACAACCCGGATAGAGTCCTCAGAACTATCACTAAACTAGAGATCGCCGTGCCGGACCATACCGCCACCGAAGTCAGTAAACAGTGCCCGCAAAATGAGGTAGTCCAAACACCAGCAACACCAACCTCCTCCAAAGAGCTAGTAGTACTCCTAAATCAGATCATGCCAGAACCGCATGATAAGGCAAGCAAATAGCAAAAGCAGAAGCTTATAAAGAAGCTCGGTAATGCTACAGAAAAGTCTTTCGCTAGGGAGGCACTCGATCAAGACCACATTCAGTTCCTTGCGCAGAAGAACAACGAAGCTAAAACCCGCCGAGCAATGAAGTCGGCCATTCTTAGTGTGGCAAGGGTGGTGACATTTGAAGATCTCCAGGACGAACGGGCAAAGCGTGCTGAGAAAGCAGCTGCCAAAGCAGCTAAGGGCAAGGTGAAGCCTGGTAGGAAACCAAAGAGTACACCATTGCATCCAGGAGAAGCAACTGCGAGTAAGGGCACGCGTGGCAGAAGGACCAAATTTGCTGTGCCAGAGCAAGACCCTCAATCAGAACTAATATATGATGTGTCTATGCAAGCAAGCGGCACAAAGGTCGTAGAGGAGGCCATCGCAGGTGAACCTTGGAGGGCTCCAGTAGCGAAAATGCGGTAGGCACTTATGGTCCTCAAGGTCAGGTAGATAATACGAAGGGCGCAGCGTAAACATAAAGTCAAGTACGAGTCTGTGAATGCCGAGGGTCTACATGATTTCCGCAAGGACATTTAGTAAGACTTTGTTGTCTATCCGGCAACCCTCGGTTGGTGTGACACCATGTTTGTATCCAGCGCGAAGCTTAAGATTCAAGTCTGCAGCGCTGTAGCCTTTTAGATTACTCTTTAGAACGAGCGAAAAAGCCCATGAACAGAGCGTGGTCGTGTCTGATACATCGTCTGCAGTGACTGCGTTGCTGAGTGCTTCTGTCATCAAAGCATCCATAGTCACCTGACCAAATTGCTCTATGTGGGAAGAGGCGGAGGCAGCATGAAAGTCAGAAAACTCCCATGGTAGAGGTACATCGATTTGCGCCAAGTCTAAGAATGCTCGTTTCGAGGTCGAAACATCTGCGGATTGGCCAGCTGTATGTTGAGGTTGTTCTTCGTGGGCTGCAGTAGGTGGCATGTGTGGCTGGTCGAGATCAGATATCGAGCAAAGTACAAGTGATGTAGGATCTACATACCTCCAGTCTGTCCAGCGAGGGATTGGGAGCTGAACAATATTTGGATACAGCATGATCATCTCCCAGCGGCGGCCACGAGATGTCCGGAGCCATTCGAACAGCATTACTGTAAGCGTCGAGAACCTCATTGCGCAATCCCAGGGCCTGCAGGAGCCGCTTCAACGATCTGTTTTCTGAAGCAAGCTCCTCAAGCTTCTGTTTAGTTATAGTTTCAAAACCCATGCCTTCGTATTGACGGATCTTGTCTTCGAGGCTTGCAATGTATTCTTTTTGTCGCGCGCGACAGCGGCGTTGGTTGTTACGGATGCGCTCTAGATCTGTAGCCTGTTCTCCAAGTTCAGTACTCACGCAAGAAGCTGGGATACCATGATCGACCGCACCTTGCCTTTCACAGCAGAGCTCTTGTTGCTCCCCATTTCAAGTTTTGGCAGTACTGAAGTGGCTGCCTGGAAGGCCTGCTACTAAGGGTTCTTACACTCTTTTCGTCGGCGAACAAGATTAGACACTCAAAAGACGCCAATTTTCGCCCAATTCAAAATCGGACATAGGTTGTTGCAGGTCAAGCACGGTTGGATCATACGTAGTAAGTCGTAAACCATGGCGTCAGTAGCCGAGAGTGCCAAGATCCGCCAACTTAGTTTTGGCCTGTCAACGATTGAGTCCCTGTTCAGCGCATCGCTGACCGACAATGTTTATGAGGTCCCGCATCGACGAGCCCTCAGGTCGAAACAACATTAATTCTCGTGCGAATTACTTACAGACCCTCGGTATGCCCTAGGGGCATAACGGCAAACTAGCACACGCGACAGGTGAATGCTAAGAGGAGACTGAGGGTATTATGGTTGCAAGGCATGGGACAAACGTACTTCCACGGGTCTCGAAACTACGCTCTACACAACAGACTTCGAGTACGGCACACACGCAGAAAGACAATTCGAAGACCCGAACACGAACAAACACGTCACTTCCAGAGGCAGAATGTATATAGTCGTAGATAGAAGCCAGACAACGCAGGGACGGGGCAACAGCGGGTCATACCATTGTTATGATGAAGTGAGGCGGTGTTGATAGACTCAGCAGCGTGTCGGCTATCCGCGGAGCCTTTGCATCTGGGCATAGTCTCGCGGCTGAAACTGAGTAGGATGAACCAAACAACTATACTCACAGAAGCTGAACGAGATCCAAAACATAACAGCAAGGCCGATTGAATCGTTCATAGACCATGTTAAGAACTTCGTACTCCCACACCGGGTATTAGTTTGTATCATAGCTCAAGATATATCCGAGGGCACTAGGCCAAACGATCCTGTGGCTGGCGACCTTTCACTCTACGAAGTTGGAACATAAACCCGCTCGCTATCACATATGAAATGCCAGCAAAAATCTGAGTGTAGAGATACTCCTTAGAGGAAGAAGACCGTCGGAGTTTCAATGCAATGCCTTCAGAAACTGACCAGTGCTGTTAGCTGAAAGATTCCAAAGATGGTCATCTAATCAAGACATACCAACAGTAGGAACTATTATTGCTGCCCAAGACAGAGACAACAACGATTGCAAGTTCTTTATCCCAGCAACCTCAACGCAGAGCGGACCTATAGTCTGCGTATGATGATGTTAGCGCATGCACCGCAGATTGAGAAGGTTCGGCACTCCTAGCGTACCATCCAAAAGACTCCAACGATAGCCCCACAGAGGGTTGAAAAAACCACTGTGAGCGCAAAAGATGTAGCCGGAAGCCAGAATATAAAGCACAAAAGACCACACAGCAAAGTCAGAACACCTGCCGTATCGATTCGGCTCCATCTGTCGCTGAGTATGCCAATGATTGGTCGTCCGACTGCTGTGCCGACGTTCAACAAACCAATCACGTCCGTAGCCTGGGCTCTGGTAAGGCCTATAGACAGAGCAAAGTCGGACAAGGAGAATAGAAGGACTATATATCCTAGCATGCTGATGAAAGCCCAAACAAGCAGCAGTATCACGTCGTATCGACGGAGGAGTTGGGCGTCGAATCCACGCTGAGTAGGTCGGATCACATCGTTTCGGTCCCGTATTGCTATTATTGCGGCAAGATTGGCGGCAAATGCGATTATTCCCGTGATACGTAGAGCCCAACCGATGGTAAAACGCTGAATGATAGCCTCTGTGCCCCACGCAAAGGCAGCACCGCCAACGCCTGAGCCCGCAGCGCTGATTCCGTTGGCTAAGCTGCGCCTTCGAACGAACCACTGCGAAAGGATGGGAAGGCTGGGAATGTATAAAAAGCCAATGCCACAGCCGATAAGAACGCCCTGACAGGCATGCAATTGCCATACTTGTGTGGCGAAAGAGGCTGCAATGAAGCCGCCGCTTTGGAAGATCAAGCCAGCAACCATTGTCACGTGTATCCCAAATCTCCGAGTCAGAATAGTAACAATAGGTGCTATAAGCATAGCTATTGCAAAGTTGAAGCCGCCAATAAACGCATAGTCCCAAGTGGATGCACCCGGGAAGATGTCGTCAGCCAAGTAGTGTGAAAGGTAGATGCCGTATGCCTAGGCCGACGAGTTAGTACGACTGCTACCTGTGGGTGAAGCACTATTGGCATAACAAGAGTATAGGATGCAGAAATAAGCTATCTAAAGCATTGTTGAAGAAAGTGTAAGATTACCGAGACAGTGCCCCAAGTGAAGCAGTTGATTGTGAAACAGGCGGCTACACAGATCCAGCCATATCCACCGTCCGGAGGAGCCTCTTCGTTTGCACTGTCATGTTCGCTTATGTTATCGAACTCGTTCATGTTTGCAGATGGTGGGTCAATGTATTGAGTGGCTATTCGATTTTGCGTAAGCCAAATCAGATGAGAGACTGTGCGAAGTGATTGCAGGCACCCGGGGTGTTCTAGAGTGGTTAAATAGAAGTGGTATTTAGCATGTCACCAGCTCGTTGCAACATGTCACTTCTGCAGCAAGGGTGCGCTACAGCTGTAGTCTGCGGCTTAGCGAGCTCTACAAGTGATTGCTCCGTACATAGCTACTCGCTATTGTATCTATCCTCTACGCTCGAATTCAAATCAAATTTGAATTGGCTTTACATACAAAACTATGGTATTGTACAGAACATTTTATAGCGCCCTAATCAGCGTGGACACCAAACAAACTATTAGATCTCCCCCCCTGCTGATCACATCTCGGTTAAAGAGACACCATTCTGCGTGCCTAACAACCTCGCTTTCTTCTCCTTGATCCTCTTCTCCTCTCTTTCGCTATACCGATCCCCGAAAAGATCGAAATGTGGCCGCATTACCAAGGTGTATTTCACGAATTCTTCCATACAGTCAACTAGCCTGTCTCTTTTCCCGCTGGGCATAAGCCTGCTCCCTCCTTCGTCTGAATTTTCCTCTGTAAATTGCGTGTAAGCCATAGGGATTGAGCTCTGGTTCGGGATGGCGAACATGCGCATCCACCGTCCGAGGACGCGCAGAGAGTTTACAGTGTTGAAAGACTGAGATCCGTCGGAGACTTGCGCGATCGCTAATGTGCGACCTTGAGTTGGCCGAACAGAACCTGTTGAGAGTGGTATCCAGTCGATCTGGTTCTTAAACACTGCGGTCTGCATAGAAACTTGTTCATTAGCCAAACGCAAAGCCAACAAGACAGACTGTCGCATAGCGTGAAGTACTCACAAGGTTTCCGTGCTATTCAGGGCTTATCCAGACGTGTCCATCGCTCCACTTGCTGAGATCTCGTAGCTCTTGCACTTTGTGGTGCAAATGCTGAGTGTCGTCTTTTACAGGCAGTCCGCTAGGGTCGAATATACGAACGTCGCAGCCGAGCCGGAAGAGTATGCGACTAGCCTCAAATGCTAGCAGACGTGAGTAGGACCTGCACCTGATTAGTTCCTTTTACAAAGAGACAGACCTGCATTACAACTTACAGGATATCTTACCTTTCTCGCAAGCTGCCATATAAGACAAGGACCTTCAATCTTTCGCCCTTACTCTTAAGGATTTGGGAATCCACCATCTTCAAAGCTGTGCTGCCTCCCTAGTGCTCCTTGCTTTCTACGGGCCGGCACGTGGCTCCGCGGTTATCATCAGTACTATGTCGCCAACGCCTGAGCCCGCTCCAGAACACAGACGGCGTATCTCATCAGCTTCTCGATCTGCGTTCATTTGAGAAGAGAAAGGCTGCGCGAAAATCCGGTACGATACTCAAATGGCTATAGCTTATCATCGTCACACTGTTCCACGTTTGCGCATTGCACCAAATGTCTGAATTCTTGATTCTGGTCCGCATTCAACTACCCCTCTCCTGTGTAGCATAGCTAGCTTCTGTAAAGACTGAGGCCGTCATCAGACCTCAAGATTGCGACCAGACCTTAGCATCGTATTCTGTCATCCACTGGATGTACTCATCGCCTGCCGTTGCCCATCCTTTCACGCCCTCCGCTAGCGCGAGGCTCTCCATCTGCTCATCCCTTTGATCTGCAATGTAGTCGGCGAACCAACCAGCGGCACGGTTGCCACGTCCTTTCGAGGAAGCTAGAATGCGACAAACCTAGTTAATCTTATGGACATGTTTGGGAAGGCGCTTCTTGGTGCCAATCCGCTACGAAACTACTAGAAGGGAACATACAGCAATACCAGATTATTTTACAGAGGCCTGCGTCCTTGAAGAGCTTGTACAAAGTCGGTATAGCAGGGTACAAGCTCTGCGCAGGAAGGTTGATTGAATCACGGATGGTGCCTCCCTGACTTTAGTTAGCTCTTTCCACAGAAGGGTAAGGTGACGGTCAATCTTGTGTACCTCATGGTCGTTGCGACGCAAATCGATGAGAATGTAGTTTCTGCTGGAAGTCTCTGCGCTCTGTTTGATCATGTCGAGAACAACCTCTCGACGAATAGTGGCAGCCGTATTTCGGGGTGCTGGATATGCAGCATGCCATGGCGGGGGCGGACCTGTGACGCTTGCGGTAGCCATTGTTTGAAAATGTTTGGAGAATTTACGAGGGACCTTAAGGATCATCGTGCGAAGACGTTCTGGGACCATTAATAATGTTATGCAAGAACAACCGCCCCCGTGTATCCGCACAAGCAAGTTCGTGCTGGTAAGTCACTGCTGGACGATGATTGGGCAAGACCGAAGCTACCTTTGCAGCCTTCCTACGTGTGCTATTGTCATCTGCGACCTCGGACATAAGAAGGAGCTCTCCTGGACCCGACTATCATCTTTGTTAACTTCAAATACTTGTGGAGGCCAGCTAGTAGCATCTCTGTTATTTACAACAACACATCTCCCCGCGACAACCTTCAAAAGCAATTAATATGACGTTATCGTCAACGGAAGGGCCCAAACCCATCAACATCGAATCTGCCAGTCCTCCCAACGACGCGGATCTCGAGAAGCTGCAGCTCGAGGAGCAGATAGCAGTGAAGGAGGGCTCCGTGATCAAGGGACTAGGTTGGCTGGACCGCTTCCTTGCGGTGTGGATCCTTCTTGCTATGATTATCGGTGTCCTTCTGGGGAACTTTGTCGAAGAAACAGGGCCAGCGCTACAGAAGGGCAAGTTCGTTGGCGTGTCAATCCCGATAGCTGTGGGCTTGCTCGTTATGATGTATCCGATTCTTTGCAAAGTCCGCTACGAGACGCTGCACAGCCTCTTTCGAACTCGCGCTCTCTGGATCCAGATTGGGTTCAGTATATTCATGAACTGGATTGTCGCCCCACTCCTTATGGTGCGTATCACCTCCCGTTCAACCCAGCTTCGACTAACACACTATAGCTCGGTCTTGCGTGGGCGTTCTTGCCCGACAGGAGCGACTTGCGGATAGGACTGGTCTTAGTTGGTCTGGCGAGATGCATCGCCATGGTAAGCTCATACATCCCTTCTTCCTTTGCAATACAGTGCTGACATTCACTAGGTTCTAATCTGGAACGGGCTTGCAGGTGGTGACGATGAATACTGTGCCATTCTAGTGGCAGTCAACTCCATTCTCCAGATGATACTCTACGCTCCGCTCGCCATCCTTTTCATCAAGGTCATCAGCCGCGAAACTGGGACCGTCGCCGTCTCCTATGATCAGGTCGCCACAAGCGTTGCAGTATTCCTCGGCATCCCCTTGGGCGCTGCGATCTTTACACGCCTCATACTGCGGAAGCTGGTTGGCGCGGAGTGGTACGAAAAGGTGTTTCTGAAGTGGCTGGCTCCATGGTCACTCGTCGGCCTTCTCTACACCATCCTCGTTCTCTTCGCCTCTCAGGGTCGCCAGGTGATCCACCAAATCGTCTCCGTCGTTCGAGTCGCCGCACCACTCATCGTGTACTTCATGGTCATCTTCTTCTTCACGCTATTCGTATGCAACAAGCTCGGATATGGATACAAACTGGGGGCAACGCAAAGCTTCACAGCTGCAAGTAACAACTTTGAGCTCGCGATCGCCGTCGCTGTTGCCACCTATGGTCCTGACAGCGACCAGGCACTTGCTGCTACTGTCGGGCCTCTCATCGAGGTACCCGTGTTGATCGGATTGGTTTATCTAGTGAGGTGGATGGGTAGCAGATGGGCCTGGAAGAGTGTTTAATGCATATAGATATGTGTAGCAACAGTTCTCTAATTTACAGGAGGAAATTTTTGTCTTCCCCCGGTATGGCTAGATCACAGCGTGACGTTAACTCAGTGCGGGGCAGTGCTGAGGCTCAGCACAAAGATAATCCCGCATCTCACTGTATCTGAAGTGGGTGGCATCTGCGATAGGCGCGTGCGTTGTGGGAGGCGCAGGTTTGACAGTCGTGGTGGCCGCAGTCCTCGTCAACGTATCGGATTCGGGTGCATCGAGTTGTGATTGCTGCGGTTCAGCGCGAAAGCTTTCTCGTAAGTCTGACCTGAAACTGACATTAGGGCTGGAAGTATTTGACATGCGTGTACGTTGAGCTTATGTAATATAGATTACGATAGTTAACTAGATAACATCACTTGCTGTGGCGTCGGGCGTCGTCCCTTTGCTTACTCTGATTGGTTGATCGGCAGATAAGTACCCTGCATCAAATCAACGTTAATTTCAGCCTTAAGGCGAAAAATGACGATATTGCGACTCCTGATGGGCTCCTTCGCCTAGGTAAGGCTATCCAGACATCGCGATACTGCGACAAGCTTTGTTGTGGTGCTCAGTAGATGTGGTGACCAGCAGCGATACGAAACTATCTGTCGCCAGACCGGCTATAAGGCGCCAGCACAATTGGATTTTACTTTCTCGGCTATTCAGAGAGTTAAGAATATGTCAAAGATGAAATCTTGTTGAAAGGATAGATAAATCTAGAACTGTCTGAACAAGTTTTGTTGCTTTGATGTTCAACTACCTAGAGTTTGTTCCGTTACAGGTGTTGTTCCGCCACGAGTGGATGCACGTTACCTGAGTTTGACCTGTAGCACCCCCTTCCAAGCGTGCAGCGCGCTGTCAACGTATTCCAATGCGTATGCTTCAACATCTGAATCGCTGAGAATTGGTTTCAGTGCTTCGCCTGTCTCGCCCCACCGTACCTGTGCCTTGATTGCAGCTGCACCCTTCTTCTCGATTAGGTTGATGTAGCTATGGACCACATCACGTATCGCATCATAGCATAGCTTTGTTTCGTACTCAATTTCGCTAACCCAGTTCTTTGGTAGCTTAGACTTGAGCGGGTGGGTGCTTTTCGGACTGACCACCTTCTCACGGAGTTGATCGTCCATTCTAGTAAGTGCGCGGAGAATCTCCAGCTTGGTGTAGCACGATATCAGCATGTTTTCGTGAAACATCGTGGGCTCATCCTCAGGCTTCAACTTGGTATTATTGGGCATGCGCAGCTTCTCCATCGCTAGACGCGTTGCGTAAAGCTCTTCTGACAGCTTTGTGAGATTACCGGGGAGTAACTTCGCATCTGCTTGACCAGCCATGACCTCAACAACCGTATTGATGCAAAGCCACGATTTTTCAGCTCTTGATTCCGCTGGGGTTGTATTCGCTTCGACTCCATGGCCTTCTTTGGGGGTAGCAATGTCATCTACCAACAAGCCTAGGTTTTCCCACGTTTGCGTCTCCTTGTGTAGCACTCTGCTGCTAGCCTCCCAGATCGAATAGCTTTCTATGAGCCATGGAAGATTGGGAATCATGTTGGGCATGATATATGGCAATGGACCAGAAGATTGTGTATCGTCAAAGTCGGGAAAGACAGATTTGTCCACATTGTCGACAATATTCCGGAAACCTGTATTTTGTTTAGTACGGAATAACTCAATGAGCTATTGTACTTACTCTGCCGGTCTAGAACAGGCAGCTGATCAACTGATTCGCCCTTCAGTCGCGCTAGACGACGGCGCTCCAGATTGCATATGTGTTTTGTTAAGCTTGATTTGAATTTCCTCTTCAGAGACAATAGACCGATGGATTGATCCCATGGGATCGTTTTGAGATCTGGGTATATCGTGTCATCCGTCTTGGACTCCATCCTCTCCATGGTACCAATGGCCTTCCCGAGTTCTTCTTCTGCTGAGAAGCCTTGGTAGCCTTTGGCACCGAACGGATGTGTTATTGAGAGGCGAGACAAGACGTATGGAGAGATAGTGTGAACCAACATCTCCTTGCACTTAGTGTAGTTGTACATCTGGAAAGCAGACTTTCCAAGACCTAGGTTCAGGTGTAGCCGGGCAGCAAGTAATGCGCGCGGTCGGTCTTGCTTTTCTTTGTCACAAGCGACTAGGTGGCGTGCGAGCATTGCAGCTTGTAAGAGGAGCCGAGAGTTTGGCGTATTCTCAAAAGGATGTTGAGATTCGTCGTAGCGCATGGCGACGTGATGCATCCGTAGGAGGGAATAAACAGCAAGGAATCCTGCCGAGGAGCTGGGCTCGTAGAGGCCGGACGATTTACACGCCTCGTCAAAGATGTACTTAACAATCGTTGTTTTGTCGCCTTTCCAATATCGGTCCGCCACCGAGGATGTTATTAGATGATTAATCTTCAGGATGTTCTGTGAGTGTATGTCCCATTTTTCGTCTGTGTATTCCTCCTATTGTGCCGTTAGTAAGATATAAGCTTGGCTCTCTGAACGTTTTGTCATGCGAAGAAGTAACAGGGTACAGCCCAGAGGTTTTCGGATGTCCCAAAAAACAGAAGAATCAGAAAACATACCGTTTGCGACGATGCGTCTGTCGTCAAGGTTCGGAAAAAATGCATTTTACCTCCAAGACCATTGCCGCTATGCAATGTTTCCAAAAATGGGCGCATGTCTGCGAAACAGCTGATGAGTGTCGAGTGGTTCTTCCAATACGTCAAGCAGTCGTCTGCCATTGGGACTCCGACGAAATGACGGAGTTTCATGTATGTCAAACTCATCGCACGATCGTTGGTTCGTAGTTCTGTTCCAAAGGCACGGTGTAGGATATCAGAAACAATGCGGACAGCCCTAGAAGATCAAATAAGTTAGAGCAGAAATAGCACAAAAAGAAACTTACTCATCTCTGGACCGATTCATTCGAACTGCTGCTAGCCAATCTGTCCATAAATCCATGTTCCAAGCACAGAGTTCCCACAGCGCCTTGGAGTCTGGATTCTCGATCATTTGTGATATCGCATTTTCAATCCTAGCCAGTGATTCGCTCTCAACAAGAGACCAATTGTTGGTCTCCCTTGAGAGTCTGATTCTCATGATCTGTAAGTCGGCTTTGTGCGTCGTCATGAGATCTTTCAAAGTAGTAGGTGGGTTGTTCCAGAGCTCTATGAGCTCATCACATTTACCTTGTCGCGCGAAAATCTCACCCATGAAGCGTAGATCCCGGATGTCTTTACACGCAATTGGCTCGTCCTAGAGCAGATCAGCATGTTGTGCTTTCTTATAGCGAGTGTTACTGACTGGAGACGCTTCGTATGCTTGTTTCATTAGCCTACGTGCTAGGTCAAATTGTATCTTGGACTTGAGGTCAGCGCCGGGTATCTGGAGCTGTTGCTCGGCTGCAAGTTGTGTTGCGAGTATTTGTGTGAAGTGGGCATGCTTCTTCATTGGTGCAGATGCGGAGATGTCTTTGAGCTCCTTGGTGTATTGAACGACAGCCTAGAGACTGTTAGCAATTTATGATGATCAACCGAGAAGCGCCGTCATACGAAGCGAAAGTCTTCCCAGCATTCTTCGCGCCATGCAGCTTTGCCAAGCGTAGACCATAACTCTTGCCGTTCCTGAGGGCTCAGTGTTTTCGAAGCGCTAAGCCAAACCTTGGAGTTCTCATTGCCGAGCCCACTGATGCAAGAGTTGGCAGTGCTGCTTCGTCGCATCGCCTCGGCAAATAGTCTGTAGAGATATGCTAGGAGCCGGATATCGTAGGGTCCAGGCTGCTGCCATGCCTGCTGTATTTGTAGAACCACATTCTTTGGATCTTGGGTGAGTTGCAGTGAGATGTCCGCTTTCCAAGCCTAGCAATAGATCAGCTGTTAATGACGCTGTTGCGTTGATGAATTTGCCTACCAGCAGAAATGGGTTCTTGGGGCTTTTCTTAAGGGACTTTTGAACAAACGAGTCTGCAAACTTGGCTTTTGGGTAGTCGCGCTGCGCCTTACACAATTTATCCCAGCTGTTGCACGCCATGATGCCGGCGACCGGAAGCGCAAGCGGATGGTGCCAAAGCGACTGTAATGCTGGTTAATGATGTTGAGGCTAGCAATCAAGTTATTAGTGTAATGGTTGTAGTATGTGCGCTGGTGGTATATTGACGGAAAAAGACGAAAGCGGACATTGGGTCGGCAGTCGCAGGCGAGTTTCGGCTCCACAACGCCCCGTCTACTTACAGACACACGAGCATCTTCAATTGCATGTCGCACCTACTTCTCTCCGCCATCGCTGTGGCCTCGCCCGAATCGCATAACAGTAGCAAGGTTGAGAATCATCTACTAACACTATGTTGCAAAATAATACACTGTACAGCGAATGGTATGTGACATATGGGACTCTACTATGATATAGTTGCAATCCCTTGAAATGCAACTACTTGCCCTGCGCTATGAGACAGCTGCGAATACTAACCCATAGTCTTGGCGCATCGGTCCTTGGTCAAGGGTGGTGCAAGAAAGGTAGTAGTTGTATGAGTTTGCACGGTTACATAAGGCCAGTGGTTGAACAGGAGTGCATTATGTAAACTATGTAGCATATAATATCCACCTGCAGTGATAATTCTCTGATATCGTTTTATACGAGACGAACCTTGAGCAAAGCATTGTGATAGCAACAGCGCACCGCTGGCAGAATACAAAGGCGATGCATACTAAGACCCGTGCACGTGACATGCTCGGGTCCGATTCTTGGCTCCAAGGTCTCCACAAGCAAAGCCCTGTATAGGAAACATAGATATATAATACCGAGTAAGATGGAAAACTATCTCGTTTTACTAACAAGCTAGCACGATTTCTTATACCTCAGCTTCTGGATGATTTTTAACGGAGTTTGGCACCCCTTTCTCATAACAACCCTGAATTTCAACAACTAATCTATACTTCTTTCAGATAGCTAGCATACTATAAATACTGCGACAATCGTAGTATAATTCAATTAGAATCGTAACTTGTGTATTGCTTAATAACTTTGTCTATGTGTATTGTATAGTTCCACTTGCCAAATACTGGGCAGAGGACTACGACTGGTTTGCAGAACAAGATCGTATCAATTCGAATTTCCCACATTTCACGATTACAATTCCCCAAGTTAGTACCAAGTACAATCACTCGCAAGACATCCATTTCATCCATCGGCGCAGTGAAAGGGACAACGTCATCCCTCTGCACATGTTTCACGGCTGGCCATCTACAAGCCTAGAATGGGAAAAGGTCATCCCCAACCTCCCAAATCCCCCAAACGAAAGTTTCCCTGCTTTCCACATTGTCGCCCCCGATCTCCCAGGCTTTGGCTTCTCTCCTGCACCCACGGCACCTGATTTCGACGCCTCTGCACACGCTGCCGTATTCGCCAGCCTCATGCAACAACGGCGGAAGAAACTGCGTTTAGCACTTCAATCACTGCTTACGCCAACGAGTATTCTGGCTACTCCCGGATGCAGTTGACGCTCCCCTTGGCTCTTGCGCATACGCTGACCGACAGTCCGGTTGGAGCCATGTCATGGATCTATCAAATCCTGTACCAGATCGGCGATCAGAACTGTACCGAGACAGAAATCATAACACGAACACTGATGCTTTATATTCCGGGATTGTACAGAAACATTCGTGCATACAAGGGAATGTTCAAGGGCCCAAATTTTGTACCTGCCCAGAATAAGACTGTGCCGACGAGTGTTTTGCAATTTGGTGGGAGCAATCATTATCCCGTACTAGCGAGTCTAAACTATGCGGTAATTTCTATCTCCCCTCTCTATCTCTATTTTTTTTCAAAGCCCCGCGAATGGGTCGAACGTACAGCGAGCGTGACGTATTTTGCGCGGCATGATAGGGGAGCGCACTTTCCAGCAGAGAGCGCGCCCGACCTTGTTGTGAAAGATATCAGAGACATATTCTCTTGATTTGACGGGCATTCCAAGAGGAATAATTGCTATAGACATCTTTACTAAATTCAAAGTATAGCGAGCCGCTTACAGGGCTAAAACCATAACCAACTCTACCTATTACGTGACTACTATGTTAGAAGTGACAAGAAGGGATGTCTCTTTGACAAAAGATGAGAAGGCTGGAGGGCCAGGGACGTTCACGTGACGTGTTTAGGTGTCTTCTCTCTACGCATAGATAGAACATGAGGTAAACAACAGACAAAGAATTCAAATTTTACATTGTGTAGAGTTCTAGCCGTATAGGGATCTAGATGTCCAATCTACTTCTCGCGATTATATGTAAGAGAGATAAGTATAGGAATAGCCCGCCTAACAGGGACTTATGCATCATAACATACATACATTACTCGTACATTCATACACCGCAAACGAGGCCAGGCTCTTAGAAAGTGGGTCTCGTTCTCTCGCCCTTCCAAAATCCCATGACTTCTCCAGTTTCCCCAACCCACTCCTTGACACCAGTGACAACGGCTTTTGCCATTCCCGCATTCGTCCCACTCCTCGCCCGTCTCTTTCCCTGCATTCCACTCACTCCAACGCCCGAACCACTTCCATACGAATCGGGCGCTTTTCCTGGGTTGATATAACTGCTTCCATCGCCGGTCGCGTACTCGGAGCCCATCGAGGGCAAAACGTTCTCGCCAGCAGATAGGGAAACGAAAAGAGCGAAGGGAACGAGCCAGACGCATAGCCCAAAGTATGCAGCGATCTCGGTAAATGTAGGGATATTCGTGTCGCGTGCGTAAGGATATGAAGAATAGGAGTTGACAGGCGGAGCACTGAAGTGACGGAACCAAAGGTAATGATTTACAATGACGAGCGCTAGAGTCAGTCAGCTTGATGTCTAATGCAGTTCTTTGTATGGAATTTCGCATACCGCAGGATAGTAAGAATAACGGGTCGGTGAGCTTGACGACTGGGAAGCGTCTAAGGTTCTGGGCATATATGCCGTGCGACACAATGCTCAACAGACTTAGCCCGACGGGGAACTTGTCGACGACAAGTAGGAGAAACTGAACGCCAACAACTCCATAGATGAGACGATATAGAAGTTTCTTTGCCAGTACAGTATGCTCTTCCACGAGCTCGGAAAGGTAGTAAAGCCCAGAAGCTACATTGAATCATTAGCTCTCATATTCGTACGTAGCGCCACCAATCGGCTCTTGATGGTGGAATCAAGTACCTATTGCCAGCGTCAAGAAGGCAAACCCCAATATGAGGCCAACATATCCAAGCAACGGTAATATCCACATGGTAAAAGGCGGCCTCTGGAAAAGTATCTGGAGTATTGAAAAGATCGGGAAGTAAGGCAGCCGCACGATGAGGTCAGTCCAAAGGTGGCATCAAGGGCTAGCGGAGAAAGCCGAGGATCCGCGCCGAAGTGTGGGGGTTGAACACCAAAAAGTTGTCGAACTCTTGGCTTTTGCATTCCGCGATAACTCACGATTCCTCCCCTCTGGCTCTGCGCAGTCTTGTATACCGTCGCATAGCCTGGAAGTATCGAAAATCTGAATTAATCGCTCGCCACAGGCTATTTCTGAGCCAGAAAATCCGCAATCATGTCGCGCCCCGAAGATATTCTGTACGCTTTCCCACGCAAAAGCTCAGCCATGCGACGCACAATTAACAGAAATCCTGTAGACCGCCCGACCTCTTTTACAATGACATCGAATCGCGCAAGTACACAACCTCGTCGCGAATCCAGAAGATTCAATCCACAATGACCCACCGCGCCCTGTCCCTCCTCGCGCTATCCTCGCCTTCGATGATTCTCGACGTCGGCTGTGGTTCTGGTCTCTCGGGCGAAATCTTGTCGCAAACGGCCGAGCAAGGAACACCAGGAGGCCCCCATGTATGGATCGGCTACGATATCAGCGCATCAATGCTGGGTGTGGCCTTAGAGAAGGAGGTCGAGGGCGACTTGCTGCTGGCGGATGCGGGGCAGGGTGTGCCCTTCCGGCCGGGAACCTTTGATGCAGCAATCAGCATCAGTGCAGTACAATGGCTATGCAATGCCGAGACGAGTGAAGAGAGCCCCACAGGAAGACTATCGAGATTCTTCAACCAGCTGTATGCTTCTTTGAAGAGGGGCGGCAGAGCAGTCTGCCAGTTCTATCCCAAGAACGATACCCAGAAGAAAATGGTGGCCCAGGCGGCCATCAAAGCGGGCTTTGGTGCAGGTCTTCTGGAGGACGACATGGGCACTAAGAGCGCAAAGACATACCTCGTGCTGACAGTCGGCGGAGGAGCTACCGACGGCGACATCACGGGTGTAGTGAGGGGCATGGAGGGCGTCGATGTTGAAGATGCACGAAGAAAAGCAAAGGGCATGAAGAGGGGCGAGGAGAGAAAGGGCAGCAAGGCCTACATCATGAAGAAAAAGGAAAAGATGGAAAAGCAAGGCAAGGTGGTCAAGTCCTCGTCCAAGTACACTGGCAGAAAGAGGAGAATCCAATTCTAGATACCCACGACATCACGAGGTCATGCATAGCACGGAGTTTAGGGTCTGAGGGTTTTTTCTGCATTTCGTTCACAAGGGTATAAGAATGGTCAATTGAATCATGTAGCATGCTATATACCACCTACAAGTACAGCTCTATGCACATTTCAGCTTGCAGTTGTACAGGTCCCATCGCGTCTAATCGTCAATGAAATATGTTTCTTCTGTAACCAATGGCATTGCCAGCTTCAAGCCAACATAAGCCGAGGTCTAGATATGACTGTATCATCGCGCTAGCTCAAAACTTGGCAAACATCAAGGATGTGGTAGTCAATTTAAGCCTTCTCCATCTGGTTCAGGACGGCGCGAGTGAACTCGTGGGTGGTGGTGTTGCCGCCCATATCCCTTGTGCGGGCAGTACTAATGATTGTCAGTTTCAATGCTCTTTTTGTGTTTTGTTCAGATAACTCACCCATCAGCAATGACCTTGTAGACGGACTGCGAGATGCGGTTGGCGTGGTCATCAAGACCAATGTGGCGCAGCATCATGGCGGCGGACAGGATCAAAGCAGTAGGGTTAGCCTGGTCCTTGCCCTTGATGTCGAGACCGACGTGACGGCAACCGGGCTCGAAGACGGCGACGTTGCGGCCCATGTTGCAGCCAGGGACGATACCGGGGCCACCGACAAGACCAGCACCAATGTTGGACAGGATACCTCCGTACAAGTTTGGCATCACCATAACATCGAATTGTTGAGGCCTCGAGACGCACTGCATGGAGGCGTTGTCGACAATCATGTCGTTGGTCTCGAGCGTGGGGTAGTCCTCACCAACCCTCTTGACGGTGTTGCGGAACAGACCATCGGCAAGCTTCATGATGTTGGCCTTGTGGATGCAGGTGACCTTCTTGCGGTTGTTGGCAAGGGCAAAGGCAAAGGCGAACTTGGCAATGCGCTCAGACTTCTCGCGGGTGATGATCTTGAGCGACTCGACGACGCCCGAGACGGACTGGTGCTCGAGACCAGAGTACTCGCCCTCGGTGTTCTCACGGATGATGCAGAAGTCGATATCCTTGTGGCGCGTCTCGTAGCCAGGGATGTTCTTGAGGAGGACAATGGAGGCATAGATGTCGAGCTCCTGGCGGAGAGCGACGTTGAAGGAGCGGTGGCCGGAGCGCTCGACGGGAGTGTGGAGGATACCCTTGAGACCAAGCTTGTTGCGCTTGAGCGATGCAATCGACTCGCGGAGGAGCTCCTCAGAGTGGACGTTGCCAGAGTCGACACCAGAGACGTCGACCTGCTCCCACTCAATGGGCACGTTGTCCGCCTTGAAGATCTCCTTGACCGACTCGGAGACCTCAGCACCGATACCATCACCTGCGCATGTTCAATATCACGTCTTTTTTTGCTAGTTTCATGTGCGGCTATCGCGCGTACCAGGGATCAAGGTGACGGTGTATTTGCCGCCGAACTTGGTGGGCTTGAAGATGTCCTGGCCGACCGTGGCCATTGCTATCACTGCGTCAGAATCTCCATGCTGGCTGTCTGCTAGGCGGGTGCTTCATACATCGAGTAGCCATGGCGGGCGCCCATCGTGAGGCAGGCTTCGCGCCCCGCAGGAGCGTCTATACGAGCGCATTAGTACTGACGTCGCCTCGCACCCAAAAAACACCCAATTGGGCGTGTAGAGCCGGGCTCGTACCTGCGCTGTTCGTTGCGAAGTCCTCGACAGCATGGTGAAGTTGCGGCGTAGGGCTGGTGGTGAGGGATTTGAGGTAGAGAGAAACAGGCTGGAGCTGCCGCTCGCCGAAAAAGCATCCCGAACCGAAGGAAGAAACCGCGCTTGGCGAATGACCGCATCCGTTCAAACCCGCGGCTCGCTGTCTCAAATATCTCCGGCCCTGGCGCTCCTCGCTCTCCCATCGCTGCTCGAGTCTTTCGCGATTCTTTTTCGTCATGGAACAAGTTGCAGCACCGCATTTGCTGCTCTGGCTGCTCGAGTCTCTTCGTCACCCACTTTTGGGCGCGCAAACCTCTTCGCATGTGATAGCGTAGTACAGTCCTCGCCTCGCACGCGACCATGTCCATTCATGCCAGAGTACAGCCGACAATTATATCGACTCTATACCAAACTCGAAATGTCCCAAGTTGTTGCTTTGAGGTTTTTGCGGCGAATTCCAATTTCTTACAACAATCAATTGCCCGCATGTTTCTTCTCGTCTCTTGTTACTATTGCAAGACTCTTATTATGCCAGTGCACAGGGTTACTAGTAACCCATGGGTAAAAACTACCGTCCAAGTCGAGAGTATAAGATAAGAATTTTCGGGTACAGGTGAAGGTGGATGTACTCGTGTCCTCTATAGTACGATGCGTGGCTTGGCACTATCTACACCCATTCACTATGACATGACCCGACTCAGAGGCTCTTGCCTTACCTAGCTATCCACTTACTTATAGTTGTTTTCGGCTTCACCATTACCAACCTCTATCCTGCTTTTGACCCCACTTTTGACACCCTCATCTAATGACCCACTGACAAGGAGAACCACCGGAACACTATATCGCGATAGCACACACCCTATCCACAATGAAGGTCAAAGAAGAGGGTTCTGATCGGAGTGCAGAGATGCGTGTTTGCATCGAAGGCAATGCCGATCCTCTGCCCGAATATGGAGAATATGTTGATCCGGTTGACCATGCAGTATGTTCTTATATTCCTTTAGAGGAAGGACAGAAGCCAAAGTTCAATGGAAAATTCAACGGAACTGTAAGTACCTTATCAGGCATTCATCCTTGATCCCTTCTCACAACTGAGCAGACACTGGATATCGTGTGCGACGCATTCATGGATGGAATACACCGCAAATGCTACTCCTATGGTGCTAGGGCTGTACGATTCCAAAAGGGTAAAAAGATCGAGATCGACAAGTTTCTATTCAAGACCGAGGACGGAGTTATTGATTCCCAGATGGTGGTGTCTACTTTGGACATGCCCACGACTCAATCGGATTCGCCAGAGACTATTGGCACTATGGAGCTTCGACTCTGCTGCACGCGTAGAATGAGCGTCTCTCATGAAGTCAAGGGTATTAAGCAGTATTACACCAAGGATAACCAGAAGCCAGGCAATGAGGACAACGACACGTCCAATAGTGAGGGCAGTGAGACTTCCGACAATGAGGACAACCAGAAGCTCGGCAATTCCAAAAAGGGCAATGAGAAGACCAATCAGATTGTAAGCTACAGGCAGATTGCACCCACATCTCGACTCGAAATAGTGAGAGATTCTGCTCCTATCAGCGAACAAGCAGTAGCCAGTTACTACAACAAGATGATTTCATCACGGCCGGGCGAAGAGCCTTGGGCAATATTCCGGTTTCACTACCGTAGTAAAGGTATCTATGAGCACTTATTACCTAGGAGAACTGTTACTAAGAACATGCTATAGAAGCACTCGAAAAGTCTGATATAGCTGTGGTATACGACCCCAAGAAACCAACCAGTGCTCAGGTTCTATCTTTTTTGGAGCCTGTGCCTCCACTTGTTGCAGAAACAAAGTGTCACCCTCGCACTCCAGCTACAAGTGAAGGACCCTTTTCAAAGGTGAGAGAGATTGTGTTCCCAGACATCGGAGCGCTAGCAAGCGAGTCCCATCTTACTAACGTCTACTGATAGGCATCCACCCCTATAAAGACAAAGCCGGAGCCACTAGCAGATCAGACAGTAGCAACAATGACCTCGGTTGTTGAACGTACCATCTCTACAGCCAGCAAGCCTGGAGACAAACGTCCCTCCGCCACTATCAACGAGACACTTCCCGAAGCAAAACGTTCAAAGGTCCTCCCGCCCTCACCTTCCTTGAACGTCAACCCTCTTAAAAGTCAACTTGCCGAACGCCGCAAGAAGCTTGCAGAGTTGCACAAGAACCACCGTCAAGAAGCTGAAACCTTGGCTACTATCCAGAGAAAGATAGAGCCCTACGAACAGCGTATGATGGAGGAGCTGGAACGCATTGACCAGGCGATAACGGAGGAGGAGACAGCACTCAAAGAAGTAGTGGAGCGTCGCAGCCACTTTGAGAAAGTGCTACAGGAGTTCGAAGATGGCCAAGATGATGCCTAGAACTCTCTTTGTGATATGGGGAAAGCAAAGATATCTTGATTGGGCTTGAAATGTGGCAGGTCAGTTTAGGGATTTGAACAGGGATTTAAGCAAAAGCCAGCATCTTGAGTGGTATCATGATAGGGAATGGGCAGTGGATTTCCTTACAGGCCTGGGCAACCGAGGCCGTTGAGGCCATTGCACATGTTTGGGATCGATGGCTAGCTCGAGATATATTGAAACAAACCGATAGTTTTGAAGCTAATTTCAGCCGCAATAAAAAGCAAGGAATTGGTGAGCTCCAGACATTGATCAAGTCGTACACCCACTACGGTTCAATTTGAAACGGAAAACAGTTTGGAAGAGTTCTCACAAGACAACACAGTGTCTCTGTACACTCATTGATCGGATGCTCGCTCTCTAGACACCCTCATGTTGGCCTTGATCCGCTCCAGCAGTTCTGCAGTTGTCGCTAGGGGAGAGGGATGTAGATTTCGCTACGATATTATTAGCCAGAATCTAGTGACTCGCCGAATGCAACCTTGAAGCAAAGCGATGTTTTGTGACAATAGTAGCGTTCTCTAAAAACAAGTGGCAAGTACTTACATGCTGAAGCCAGGTAACGCATTGGTCATGGGTCCATGTTTCTGGATCTGCAGTCTAAGTTAGTCCAACTCCTTGCCAGATCCATGCATCTCTTCCACATTGAGGATGACGTACCACCAGTAGGATCTTGACTGGGAAAGATATCCTGACCCCAGATACTCCATGCTGCAACGCCTGCAACTATAGCGGCGAATGCGAAGAACGGTCCCTGGAAAGTTTTAGCATACAATAAGATTGGTGCAGTGAAGGCCCACTATGTAAAGTAGACGCCAGGATAGCCATGAGTAACTCACACGTTGTTGCACTGCGCGGTCGATGGGAGTGGGCATGTTGGAGGTCGGTAGTGACGATAGATTTCAGAGAGTGTTACTTCACAATTGACTGAAACTAGTAAAGATAATATAGCAGGAGGTTTGCGAGCCTTAAGTAGGAATCTGGTAGTAGGCAGCACCACTGATCCTCGCCTCACATGTGTTAAACGCCACACTCGTCGTCACCCCACCAACCCCAATGCAGCAACGCTTGCGACCAGCCCCTTGGTGGCCCGTGCATCCAAGCGAATTTCTCTCCACAACAACCAACGCAATTTGCTTGGTCGACCTCCCGAACTTCACGATCCGAACCCAACGACTCGTCGACACATTACCGTCAAGATGCCTTCCGAAGTTTCCGACATTAAGCAGTTCATCGAGATCTGCAGGCGCAAGGATGCCAAGTGTACGTCTACCAATTTCGATATGGGAGTGGCCTGCGGTCGCAAGAAGAGGAGGGAGTTCGCACGATGATTGAATACAACGGCGACTACGGGGGAGGATGCTTATGTATAGGCTACTTTATGTGAGAGAGCTAGACTGACAGAAATGTAGCCGCCTGCATAAAGAAGAACAAGAAGGTCAACAACATCAAGTTCAAGGTCCGATGCTCAACCAACCTGTACACCCTTGTCCTTAAGGACACCGACAAGGCCGAGAAGCTCAAGCAGAGTCTGCCTCCGGGTACGCACTACCAAGAGAAATTACCCTCACTTCTAGGCTATTCGTCTAACACGTACCAGGTCTTACCATCTCCGACGTTGGCAAGAAGAACCCCAAGGGCAAGCGCACCGCATAAACGGATCGAAAGGCATGAGGAACTGAGGACGGAAGTGTGCAAGGACATCAATGCACGATGCGCACGAAGCATGAAGGCATGGGCGGACGGCGTCACAACGGATAAACCTTGTTCAATGACACTACGGAACCCTTCACATTGGGTTACCACCAGGAATGAAAAATGTCAAAATCGTTCCAAAACATCACAAACATGGCTTGATACAATTATGGTGGTTCACGTGGTTATTATTGCTGGACAGCTAACTGTAGAGCATACGGCTTCATGGCTGCTAATACCACAACCGCTTCGACTTCCTCTATTACTGCTTTGCATTGAGTATACATAAATCCGTTCAAATGGATTGCACATTATCGATATTCCAGCCGCTCATATAGAGCCTTCTTAAAGTCTATCCGCGTACCGAAGAAGACGTAGTCATCACAATGGATCGAAGTCTTCAGATCTACGCTGGTGGGATGCACCAACTAGCAATCTTGATCTACATTAGTGTTACAGTACGACGTCTCGCTCCGTCCAAATATCAATACAACGAAAGGACCCAATTATCACAGGTATATGGCAGAGCACGGGGTAATCGAAAATGAAGCCGAGTACGGCTGAGGTAAGATATAGGAGAGAGGTACCTAGTGCACCTTTAGGCTGGTTGTCTCATGATTGATTTTGAATGGCAGTGGCTGATTTCATGTCCCGACTACATGTTTCTAAGACGGTCCTACCACTGACATGAACTCGTTGCACAAGGCTGTCAGTGGTAAGGTGGAGCATTCCCGCTCAGCTCCGCATCGGTACTGAGCTGCAGGGGACCCCTGTCGTGCCAAGCTGTCTGCATTAGAGGTGAGCAGTGAACACCTGGCGAGCCAGGAACCTCGTACATAGGATATGAGCTTTCGAATGCATTGAGGGTCTGGAGCAAGATGGTTGGACTGTCAAATTCTCACGAGTGAATTGAATTCGCTCAAATACATATTGTTACCGCCAAAAGACACGTTGCGCCGCCCAATGAACTCGACACGCGATCCATTCAACCTCCGCAGCAAAGCAACCTTCAAGACACCCTCTGCCTTTAGCATCCTCCAGAACGCCGCCAACAAGACCGCCTCGCAAGCCGTGCAATCGGGCAAGCAGGCAGTTCAGGCCACGAAACAGGCAATCCAGGACTCCGATATGTCCTTCGCCATCCCGCGCAACGTACCCAATTTCGAGAGCGCGCAACGCAAGTTTGAAGATAATGTGTGGAATAAGCTTCCAGGGAACGAAAAGGGCTTGCCAATGTACAAAGACAAGCCTTCAGGAAAGGTTTACGGATATGGTGGTCCGAGGGGGAGGAGAGGTTTTATGAGGAGCAAGAGGGGAATGGGGTTAATAGCGCTGGTGGTGCTGGGGCTCTTCTACTGGTTCGGATGGTCGAGTGGAGGCACAAGCGTCAGTCTAGCGGAAGATGAGAAGGACAGAGGGAAGAGTCTGGCCTCCAAGATTGGAGGAAGTGCTACAGGAAAGAAGAGCAAAATCGACTGGGAGAAGCGGAGACAAGCAGTCAAGGACGCCTTCTTGCTGAGTTGGAACGCATATGAGGAACACGGCTGGGGCTATGACGAGTACCACCCAGTTTCAAAGAAGGGACGATACATGGCTGAACCCAACGGTCTAGGTTGGATCATCGTAGATGCGCTCGACACACTCATGATCATGAACCTGACCAAGGAATACAACCACGCCCGTGAATGGATATCCACGACTCTGGACTACGACAAGAAGCAGGATGTCAACACTTTTGAAACGACGATTCGCATGCTTGGTGGACTGCTGTCGGCACACTATCTACAAGACTTACTTCCTGGAATGAAGCCTTCGAATGCGAATGACGAGGATCTCTTCCTGGAGAAGGCAACGGATCTTGCTGATCGCCTCATGGGCGCATACGATTCACCTTCAGGTGTGCCTTGGGCCAGCGTCATTCTCAAGGATTCCAAGGGTGAAGCCTCACACGCCGACGGAGGTGCGTCCTCTACAGCCGAAGCGACGACTCTCCAACTCGAAATGAAGTACCTTGCTTTCCTGACTGGTGAATCACAATACTGGACTTCGGCAGAGAAGGTCATGCAAGTCGTTGACAACCTCGGCGCCAAAGATGGTCTGCTTCCCATCTTCATCTACGCAGACAGAGGCACGTTCCGCGGCAACGAGATCCGATGGGGCAGCCGTGGCGACAGTTACTACGAGTACCTCCCTAAGCAATACCTGCAGACGCAGAAACACGAGCCAGTGTACCAAGAAATGTGGAACGAGTCTCTCAAAGGCGCAAAGAAGCATCTCCTCACCTACACAAAGCACAGCCACTTTACCGTCCTGGCAGAGCGCCCCAATGGCATAGAAGGAAACCTGCACCCCAAAATGGACCATCTCGTCTGCTTCCTCCCAGGTACCATCGCCCTAGCCGTCACCGAAGGCGCTACCCTGGCCGAAGCCCGTAAGCTGCCCACATGGGGCAAGCAACAAGAAGAAGACATCACCCTCGCCCGCGAACTCACAAAAACCTGCATGGGCATGTACAAAGTCACCGCCACAGGCCTCGCCCCCGAAATCGCCCACTTCGTCCTCGACGACCCCCCCAAAATGTATCGCACTGAGATCCTCCCCTCCAAATCCGATCTCGACACTAGCGTCGCCGACGGCGAGGGCTGGAAGAGCGACTTTGATATCAAACCCGCGGATACGCATAACCTGCAGCGTCCCGAAACCGTCGAGTCGCTGCTGTACATGTGGCGCATCACGGGCGACGAAATATACCGAGAGTGGGGCTGGGAAATGTTCGAGAGCTTCGTCAAGCACACGATTGTGCCTGACAACGGTGGGTTTTCAAGTGTGGGTGATGTGACCAAAGTGCCGCCTCCAACAAGAGATAACATGGAGAGTTTCTGGTTGGTAAGTTTGACATCCTCGCCTTTCCCCCCTTTTGCTTTCCAAAGTTTAAAAAAAAAAGGGACAAATACTAATGTAAAGCACAGGCCGAAACGCTAAAGTACATGTACCTTCTCTTTTCACCTGATGATCTCTTGCCGCTGGATCAAATCGTTTTCAACACAGAGGCTCATCCTTTTCCCCGCTTCGATCCGAGCAAGAAGCGGTTCAAGACGGGTTGGCAGCGTATACCCAGGGATGAAAAGGGGAATCTCGTCCCGCAAAAGGCGGATGAGAAGAAGACTTCGTAGAAGTGGGGATATCGAAACGCTTTTATTTATTTATTTTCCTTTTGGGCTGCCGGCTTTTTGATACTACGAAGCGTGTGGGTGGGGGTAGTCTGACGTGCATCAGTGGGCGTTTCTAGGTTGTAAGCATTTACACACACACATATATGAGTGCTTGTTGACCTGTACTTTTACGTATCGAATACAATCCGAACCCATAGTTCCATGTTCACTGTGTCCAGTGGTTTGAGATGATTTCGCATGCAAAAATTTGAAAAAGCAGATGCCTTCCCATTTCATATGCTATATACATGTATATAGATATGGTGTAAATCTACCATGAACGCCGGTACTGACACTCCTCCACAAATATTACCATATAGTGCATAAACTCATAAATCGTGACTCATATCTTTTTTTTTAAATTCGCACCGACCGGCTCATGAGTGCAAAATGTCCTTGCTGGCATGGTTGAAGCTGCAACAAGTTCGATATGTGAAGCCGTCTCTCCGGCAAACTACTAGGACGTGTCCTAGCCAGTATAGTGTCAACAGGATGTAGATAGCGGTATGATATATGTCGTGGGTGCGGTGTTTTCGATAAAAGTGAGGTCTCTCTTAACGCTCCTGGGATTGTGATTGCGATTGCTCTTCGCCAATGCGTGGAGGACTCTTCGAGTTTGACGATTGGTTCCTAAAGGGCGAGTGGCTACCTCTAAGCAACCGAAATATTAGTTTCGTAGTCTCAACATTCCTTATGTCTTGTTAGGACTTACGAGCGTCTCCGCTTCCCCTCATCTCTCCTCTCCTCAATCACCTTTAGCATCGTCTTCCGCCCATCCTTGGCATTGATATGGGCGTCCCGCATACTCATGCTCACTTTGGTGCTCGCATCCGCTCTAAGCAGCCTCTTGAGCAACAAGTGGCGCATGAGAACACAGACAAAAACTCCGCAATCACTTCCATTCTCCTGCTGGGGACTGTCTCCCATGGGTATAAATCTCAGTCTCTTCCCAAGCAATTGCTCCAGCTTCATGGTCGTGCTCCGTGCCTCGCGCTCGTTTGCCTGGCTCATGGAATCGTAGTGGAAGGAAACGCCGTCAATGATTGACACCAGCAGCAGAGACCAATGGGACCCGCCTTCTGCCTGCGTGACATCCACGTTGTCGTTTATGGGTAGGAAGACATGTGTAGTGTGGCTGAAATTCGGCAGAGCTTCCTTGAGGGCGAGGGGCTCTGCGGCTTGCATGAGCATGTAGGACATGGAGGGGCGTAGGAGGACGATGGAGGCTTTGGGGTAGTTGATAAGCTCTTCGCGTTCGAGGTATTCCTGCCAAAAGGCAATTGCCTGCGGGGGGTTTAGTCACAGCAGCTGTTTGGACAGTAGAAGTGTATGCCCACATTGTCGGTGAGCCAGTCATTGGTCTTGATACTATCAAGATCCGCTCGTGTTACTACGCTCGTCAGTATTGTTATCGGCTTGGTCGTTCTATGCGCAAGTCAAGGAACAGATGACGCACACACCCCTCACGTCGTAGTCTGCGTACGTTCAGTCAGTCGTCACTCTCTGTGCCATTACGGTGACCATGACTCACATGAAAGATAGGCCTCATCCGGGCTGGGATCTCCCAAACGCCGCCTCGCCTTGTCTTTGATTCTTGAGAAGGAGCCGTGCATGTTGGCACGCACTGCCGCCGTGGTTTGTAGAGGAGGTGTGGTGTGGGGTGCGGTGCGGTGCGATCGCGGTGGGTACCCAATGCAAGGCTGCAGGCGACAGGGACGATATTATAACAACAGGCCAGACCTCTGGGAAATACGGTAGGTGGAAATGCCAGATGCCTGTCTCGCTAGGGCCAAGGCCGACCAAAAGATGCCGAAACCTTCATGCGGGCAATATGCAGGGATGACGTATGCGTCTGGCCAGATTCGCTGGGTGGGGCATCCCTGCTTGCCGCGGGTGATTTTTTATCGTAAACTCTGCAATATAGTTATATATTTGTACCCCTTTTTTAAACACTATGATGGTGTCTAAAGGGGCTTACGGTGTGTTTTGACATGATAATCATGCTCACACACTACAAGCTGTCTTGGTCCTATATATGATATGTGGCCCATCTATCCATTCATGCATGATATAGTAGAACAAGATAGCTGGAGCTGGGCATATAGACATAATTTGTTATGCATCAATTCTTTATCTACATGTACATTCGTGATGGTCATCTTACTCAGGAAAGCTCGGAAGTAATTGCTTTTTTTGAGATGCGGAGCACTGAACTTTTGTACGCCTCAGTTAAGCAAGCCACATGAATACCCTTACGGCAGCTGTCCAACAATCTTGGCACCGTTCGTCTGGTCTTGCTTTCCAAACTGCTCTGGTCTTTCAACCTTGTAAAGCCAGTTCTTGTTGTCTTCAATCTTGCCCTGCTGGATTCCCTTGAGAGTTGTGAGAAGCTTCTTGCATACTGGGCCTGGTTCTTGCTGGGCTTCTGCATAGGTGAACTTGTCACCCCTGGACTGCATAGTGATAGACTTGATGGGAACTAGAGCTGCGGCAGTTCCGGCAGCAAGAACTTCATCGAAAGTGCTCAGCTCGTCGTAAGCAATCTGATATCATCAGCACAATCCAAAACCTAATGGCTCGCATGCATTACCTCGCGTGACTCAGCTTCCCACCCAAAAGACTCGGCAATTCTCAAAACACTATCTCCAGTGACACTCTGGATAACGTTTTTGCTGTTAGAGGCGACGAGCTTGACTTTGTCGCCATCCTTCTTCACGCCAATGAAGGCTGATGTGGAAAACTCGTCAACTACACTCCTAGTCTTACTGTCCAAGTGGAGAGTGATGCCGTAGCCAGCTTTGTATGCTTTCTCGCTATGCCTCAATACTGGAGCGTAGTTTCCGCCAACCTTTGCTGATCCGGTACCTTCCGGAGCAGCACGGTCAAAATCTTCGAGAATGACAGCGTCCACGGGGTTGGATCCATGGTAGACACCGGTTGGGATACAGTAGACGACAAAGGTGTATTCTTGTGGAGGGTTCAGACCGAGCTGTGCAGAACTTCCGAAGAGCAATGGCCGGATGTACATGGCTGCACCCGTCTCATGGGGTGGTACATAGGCTGCATTCATGCCTACAGCCAGGCTGCAGCAAGCAAGGAAGTGGTCTGTCGGCACCTCTGGAATGGAAATGAATGAAGCAGAGTGCTGCATACGCTCGGCATTCTTGTTTGGCCTGAAGATGTTGATGGTGTTATTTGGCGCCCGGAACGCCTTCATTCCCTCGTAGCACTGCATGCCGTAGTTCAGACCAGGCGCCATGCCGTGGATACGGAGGTAAGGGTCTTCGACGAAAACTGGAGGCGTCCATTTTCCAGTCTCGACAGAGTAATGTGATTCGACATGGCCAGCAACTTCAAATGCATTAGGTTATGACTCAATAACTGTGTTTTTTGGTGTCGGAAATGTGCTGCACAGAAGGAAATGGTGGACATGCGGCATCTTCCAAAAGAGGTGTGCCTTCTCTTACAAGAGACATTGATGCCATCAAGGATACATAATCTTGAATAATCCTGAACAGAACATGGTCATACCTTCTCGGATCTTGAAGCCTACGTTGCTCCAATCTAGAACACAGTCAGCAAAAAAATTCCAATCCGTGTGTCAGTAGACAGCAGCCAACGTACCGATGGTATCAACTGGTGGTGGAGGAAAGTCAGACATGATTGCTTTAGAGTCAGTGTACTGTGGGTGCTGGTGATGGGGTATGAATTATTATGCAAGATGGAATGGGGCTCGGAAAGTTTTGGTTGCTTCCGGAGGGTCAAGAGGGTCAGCTAGTAAGAGAGCGATATCGGTGGCCCGCAACCGCCGATATCCTGAATCAGCCGCTACAATATATCAAAAGGTGCTGACGCCCATCCTGGTGTTTCCCTTTGGAGTCATTATTAATTTTGCTTTTCGGCTGTGCTGCGCCGCGCTGCATCTCGCGTCTGTACCTGCAGACTTACCCGCATGGTGGAACCACCCAGGCGTGACGTGCCGGGTGTGTCGTTTCTTGGCGTAATCTGAGGCATCGAGGATGTGATTATCTGTAACTGCACCAATACACCTTTAAACACACCATGGAGTAACACCTCTCGTCTTGAACAACCTCTTCTTCGTATTTTGATATCCCTGGCATATTTATTCCGTCATGTTTCGCGTGGCCGGTCTCCGCGCGCGGTTCGCAGTCCTCGCGATACTCGTCATGGCCCTTTGTTCATTCTTACTCCTAGGCCCCTACAAAGTAACACCCGGCCACCTTACTTTCACGACACCCGGGAGGGATCTGGGGCATACTAGCCAAAGCCTGCTTACAGGACACGCAATCGCGCCAAAGCTGGGAAACGCGACGGCAAAGTATGTTGGTCATGCCCAGACATGGGAACGTACACGTATCGCAAGAGCTGAGCTGACGCGCAATATCCAGAGCAGAACTTGGTCGCGCGGCCTGGAAAGTCCTTCACACAACCTTCGCCCGCTTCCCCGAGAAGCCTACAGAGGAGGAGAAAGAGGCGCTACGGTCATATGTTCACCTGTTCCAGCGCCTGTACCCATGGTATGTCTTAGACAATGCAGGGGGATCTGCGGCTGGAGTCACGCGCCAGCTAACTGTCGGTGTAGTGGAGAATGCGCAGAGCACTTTGGACAAGTGCTTGCCAAATACCCTCCCCAGGTGTCGTCCCGGACAGCGGCAGCCATGTGGGGCTGCTACGTGCACAACGTTGTCAATAAAAGGCTGAAGAAGCCGGAGTTCAACTGCGAAGACATAGGCGACGCATACGATTGCGGTATGTAGACTTTCCAATGTCTACAGGTTACTTGCGGCGTACTAATAGGCTTGACAGGTTGCGCAGAAGAATGATTGGGCAATGGCACAGCGGCAGGGACGTCCTGGTGACATAGATCAACAAAGGACAAGGGAGACAGGAAGACTCGGGCAAGTCATGAGCCCTGCAAGACGTGCATAGCGAAGGACACTGGGGGTATGTGTGTGTCAGTGTCGAATATCTACAGTGCATAGATACAAGACAAGCGCCATGGCACTCTGCATGCATGCAGGGGCTGGGGAGAGGGCATCCTGCTTCTTTTACGAGCAGTGCAATGTCCAAAAGAGAGACCTGGCGTCTCTGGGCCTAGTAGTTACAACAAAGTCCGCGGGTACCTCACTGTGCCGCAGGCCGCAGCAAGGGAGGTGGGAGAGGCAGGCCAATAGGCTAAGTGGTGGTTGACGTAGCTGCTCCTACACCCCCGGTCGATCACATAGGCTTGTCAGCGGGGTTGGAGGCGGTAATGTGTTAGTTGTCTTGGTTGGGGTGTAGTGGTGGTGTGTACTATAGCTGGACTCGAGATTGGCCTAAGCAGAGTGTAGCGAATGGCTGTGCGAGCGATTGGCCTTATGACAGGAGCAGCCCTGTCGCTATACAGCCACGCAGGCATGGCTTGCGCAACACGGTGATGGTCTTATCAGCGGGCGAGGACAAGTGGTGTGTCGAGCAAGTCAATCTACACGACGCAACAGCAGTTGTGTGCCCCTCAGTGTTGGCCCATTGCCTCCCCTCTGTGCCTCGTTCCTTGGGGCGCCCTCGTGCGTCATGGCCGTTGGCGGCGGCTGCGGGTGGACGAACCATACACCACAACCATGACGAGGAGACGGACAAGACGGACAAGACGGACAGCGACAGCCCACCCGTTCCCCAGGCGCGTGGCTTGCGGTGGGGAGGCCGATGCAGGCGCTAACAGGGCGGCATGCAAAGATGCGCGGTCGCATGATTGTATTTTGGGATGGTCGCGAGGGCGCGCTTCGCAAGGGGCCCTGTTCCCGAAGCAACCTAGCGCATAGCAGCTTTTGTGCTATCCAAAACATCTGAAACCTTCCTTGGGTCAGCACCGAGGGGTGATAACGACGCCGCGCCCCCTCCTTAGCACACCGACTCTTCAGTCTGCTCCTCCCCTGCGCTGCCGCTGCCAGCTGTTAGCTGTTCACCGCCTCTTGTCCGTCTGCCTGTCTGTTGTCCTGTCGAAACAACTTCCGTCCTGCCATCATGGTCTCCTTCTCCTGCGAGGTACATACTGCTTGCCTGCCCTTGCTTGTTTACCACCATGCCCCCTCAATTGGCACCCCTCCCCTAGACACGCATTGGAAGCTGACTCTGCCCATCTAGGGCTGTGGAGACGTCCTCACAAAGAAGAAGCTCGATGGCCATCGCAACCAATGCTATGGCGCTACTTTTACCTGCCTCGATTGCATGGTCCACTTTCCTGGCACCTCCTACAAGTCCCACACGGTATGCAATGCGCCAGCCCTTTGTTTCCCCAATGCGCCTTGCAACTGACTGACATGGCCTAGTCCTGCATAACTGAAGACCAAAAGTACCAAGGAAAACTCTACAAAGAGAAGAAAAAAGGTCCGCCCCAGAAGAGGGACAGCGCATACCACGACAACTCGCAAGCCCTCACCCCGCACAACGCATACGCCGAAGATGCACCCGCCCAAGACAACGCCCTGGCTGTCGTCGATGCCCCGCCGCGCGCGCCTACTCCTCCTCCAGCGGCGCATTCCCTTGGTTACCACGAACAAGCGGCCATTGAGGCTCCTAACGTCTTCGACTTCCTCGATCCCTCCTCGACGCC